GCTTTCGAACGATGGAGGATCAGCATTCCGAAATGGATGGAACCACTCTTTAAGGGGGGAGTTAATTTGTTGTTCTTCATCGGTCAGTTCGACAGAGACACACACTTGTGACAGGATCCACATGCATGTTTAGTTCTTCACATATATTCCGATGAGATGGTGACTCCAAAGATTTTACTTGTTGTTGTAGTGGTTCTTCTAAACACAAGAACTTACAAATGACTTGAGAAGCATGGATTGCCACAGTCAAAAATATGAGAGATTAAGTAGCAGAACTAATACGATCGATATCTACTACCTATCACAGTTATAGCCATGATAACATTGTTCTAACAACTGTGAGGAGAGAGATCTCAGTATCTTCTAAACTTTGTCTTAGCTTCTTCTGGTATTATAGTGCAACTAATTTTTTAGTGACAAAAGAATAACATCTCAGAGATGTCACAAAAAATTCTTCTAAAAATCAAAATGAATAACTGTGGCTAACTCTTTTTTCTTTCCAGGTAATAAGGAATAGATGATCTCTCTCATGAGCAAATCCAATTATTATTATCTCTTCCCAGTTTTACTGATATTTTCCAGTAATCTTTTTTCGGAAGAAAGAAAGGCTCTGCAATCTGATATTGGTCACCCAAAAGAAAAGAGAAAAGAACTCAACTTTGAAATGCTCTGAGCACATCTTAGGCAAATCCAACATTGGGTTTGGATTGGATGACAAAGAGTGGTTGCTTTGGATATTATTTTGTGAACTGACAGAAATGGCTTCATAAGTGCTCGAGGCCAAGACTTGGCATTGCAATTGCAGTCTAGATTAGCAAAAGATGGTAGATTTATAAGAAGATAACTATTTCTTATGGAGCACACATTATGCATGTCGAGGTTTAGAAATGTGATGATGACAGTGGAAACCTTGAGAAAGAAGATAACTATTTCTTCTATGGAAGTGCTTAAAGACAAATGACAAATGTTCCTTTCATCTAATCTTCCTTGGTCAATTCTTTATGAAATTTGTTTACAAGACTCAAAGATTGACTGAGATTTTGTTCTCTCTCTCTCTCTCTCTCTCTCTCTCTCCCTCTCTCTCTGGGTTGAACAGTGTGAAGTTCATATTACGTATCTGATATTGTATAATTTGGTGTGTTCATAAATGCAATGCTCTCTGGTCAATATGAATTGCACTAACAATAAGAACAATCACAACAAGCTTGAGATCTATCGATGTTTTGATATCAGTTTGGATACAAGGTTGTAAAACCTATAGATTATGACATACATTAAACACAAAGCACGATGATGGGATTGCCAACGACGGGGTTATAGATTTGCCATTTTATTGCATGTAGTTGAACCATTTATTTCAGATACGAAAGCCTTGATCGCTTGGCGCAAGACGTACCAACCGCAGCGGCAAGGAAACTTCCTCTGCCATCTTCTTTGGTAAGAGAAAGAAGCTTTCTTATGCTTCTCCCTTTTTATGTTTTTGACTACCCTACGCATGGGGCCTTCCCTCATCAACCCTCCCTCACCCTATCTTTAATTCCCCTGCGTCAGCGATCATCACCCTTTCTTCCCGCATCCAACCACTCCCAAGGAGCATGGGCCTTCATATATACTCCTGCGGTGGCCAGCGGCCAACAAACTGTTGACAGCATGGGCTCGGGAGGCGGGATGATGAAGGCTATCGCATCAAAAGGTCTCGTCGTCAAGATCAATGTAGCCTTGCTCTGCTTCTTCGTCTTCGCCTACGTCGCCCTCTATGACCACAGCGCCACCAAGATGGTCTCCTGTTCCTTACGAGCCTGCCACATGAAGAAGGTAAGGTGAGTGCTGGTCCTCGATTAGTTGCAGGCTCTCTTCTCGCTTGCTCCTATCACACATGGAATGGAGATGAGTTCTGAGGGGAAAGAAGCTGCTAAATCTTGCAGGTGGAAGGAGTGTCTCGGAGAAAGACTGGGAGAGAGACCCGGACGACGATGGAGACGGTCCCCAGCTTCCTCAGGACGCTGCTGCATGGCAGCACCAAGATCGGGTTGGTGAACATGGAAGAGGAGCAAGCGTTCGAGTGGGGCCTCGTCGGCAGGGCCACGGCCGTCGACTTCGAGCCGGTCTCCGACAACTTCAAGTGGGAGGACCTGTTCCCGGAGTGGATCGACGAGGAGGAGGACAACGAGGGCCCGTCGTGCCCCGAGATCCCGCTGCCCGACCTCTCGCGGTACGGCGAGATGGATGTGGTGGTCGCCGAGCTTCCGTGCCGAGCGCGCGACGTATTCCGGCTACAGGTCCATCTGGTGGTGGCCAACCTGGCGGCGCGGCGGGGGAGAAGGGACGCCCGGGGGGAGGTGAGGGTGGCGCTCCGGAGCGCGTGCCGGCCGATGATGGAGCTGTTCCGGTGCGACGATCTGGTGGCGAGGGATGGCGAGTGGTGGATGTACGAGGCCGAGGCGTGGAGGTTGGAGGCGAAGCTGGCGCTGCCGGTTGGCTCCTGCAACCTGGCCTTGCCACTGTGGGAGAAAGGTACGCGTCACTTCATCTCTTCTCCTCCTTCTCTGTCTCTCCCTTCTCAACAGTCACAAATTTACCTCGTGAGAGATCATTGTCTTCTCCGACCAAAAATTTCACATAATAGGAAATATGATTACATATATAGGCATATGAGAAAGAAAGGATGGGATTTAAATGGCCATTATCTCAGTTTTAACCGATGGACTCGTCTGACGAAACCATGGAGCGGAAACAGAGGTTTTCTAATGGGAAAGACATCCATCCATACGTTAGCCATCAGAGATCGAGGCAGCTCGTAGCTTTGTCTTGGATGTATCGAGCCACATGAGGCTGGCAAGATGTCGTGGTCGTAAAACAAAGAGAAAGGAAGGACGCGTGGGACCTGAGATTGCAGTCGGTGGCATTGATATTGGATTCAACCTCACTTGCAGATCTGAGAGTAAAAGGACGAAATGCGTCAGTCAAATTACCGTGAGCGTCGTCATGTGTCTTCTTTGGCTTTGCCACCCCCACCCGACATGCCGATCTACTTACTTGGAGCTCGCTCATCTTTTTTTACCATGGCATGTTGGAGAAGCAACCTCTCCTCTCAGAGCGGTCTTCTTGCTTTAACTCGAAGATTCACATTAACACGAGGAGTAGACTCGCGTTTTACCGACCACAAGTAGCCATCACAATCGGTGGGATTAGTTGGTGAGGAGAATCCACGTTTTGCTGCACCTCATCGTAAGACATATCTTATCATCTCGACAGACTAGTTTTAATCTCACTCGAAGATCTTTCTGGCTTGCCACATTCCTTTCTGTGATGTACAGACAGCAAGTACCTCACGTGATGTCGATTCTCAGATTTTGAGAGAGAGAGAGAGAGAGATGGTGGCAGGCTTTTGGCCTTTCGCGATGCTTTTCCTTGGAGAAAACAATTCAACCTTTTAAAAAGCAGACGAGTGTTGTCACCTCTGTTTGCTCGAAGGCAAAAAGGAAGAAAAAGAAAAACATTCCTACTAGCGTTTTAGAAATGTGAAGAATCATAAAACTGTGAGATCGATTGATAGTTATTACTTTTCTGAACACACAAAAAGTGTTTTCTTTAATAAAATTATTGTAATTATGTTTTTAGAATTAATTTTGGTGAAGAATGTAATGCTTTTCCATCTTTCTTGGTCAAATTGACCGCTTTCTCCTCCTCCTCCTCCTCCTCTCTGTTACGCAGATCCAAAACCTACCATGAAACGTCCGTTATAGGCATTGACTTGTCTCTGCTTGACTGTTGCCAGGAACGGACGTGGTTTACGATGCGTCGAAGCTCGCCGGACCGGCGAGCCCCCGCCGTCGGGAGGCCTACGCCACCGTTCTCCACTCCTCCGACATGTACGTGTGCGGCGCCATCGCCCTCGCCCGCAGCATCACCAGAACCGGCTCCACCCGCGACCTCGTCCTGCTGCACGACACCTCCATCCCCCACGACAAGCTGCAGGCACTCGTCGCCGCCGGGTGGACGCTCCGCCAGATCGAGCGCATCCGCAACCCGCGTGCTCGGAAGGGCACCTACAACGAGTACAACTACAGCAAGCTCCGCCTCTGGCAGCTCACCGATTACCACGTGGTCGTCTTCATCGACGCCGACGTCCTCGTCCTCCGCAACCTCGACCTCCTCTTCCACTTCCCTCAGATATCCGCCACCGGCAACGACGGCGTCATCTTCAACTCCGGCGTCATGGTCATCGAGCCATCGAACTGCACCTTCAACGCACTGATGGCACTACGGGAGGACGTGGTCTCGTACAACGGCGGCGACCAGGGCTTCCTCAACGAAGTCTTCGTGTGGTGGCACCGCCTGCCGAGGCGGGTGAACTTTCTGAAGAACTTCTGGTCCAACACCACGGCGGAGGCGAGCATGAAGAACCACCTCTTCGCCGCCGACCCGCCGGAGTTGTACTCCATCCACTACCTCGGCATCAAGCCATGGATGTGTTACAGGGAGTACGACTGCAACTGGAACATAGGAGACCAGCGAGTTTACGCGAGCGATGCGGCGCACGCGACGTGGTGGAAGCTGCATGACGACATGGACGAGGGGCTGCGGAAGTTCTGCGTGTTTTCTGAGAAGAGGAGGGAGCAGCTGGAGCAGGAACGACGGCAGGCGGCAGAGTTAGAGTTTGGGGATGGCCACTGGAGGTTGAAGACAACGTCGGACAGGAGGAACGTGACAAAAGGAGTGAGCACTTTGGTTTAACTATTATCAGCAGGCATTACCGTTGATCTCGCTCACCCTCTTCTTGGGGATAATTAGAGTTCGATAGAGTTCATATACATCATGTGCTTGTATCAGATAAAGCTCAGAGGAGAAAGTATACATCCCTCAGTTCTCCATAATGTTCATTATGCTTTGCTTGAAACACTGGTGGAAAGTCGAGGATGCGTTACTTCCTCGTCTCTGTTCACCGTTCACAAAATTAACCAGGCCTGCACGGCAAGGTTGGATCACTCACCGGCTCATTCATTTGCCACTGCTTCCGAGAGTATCGCAGCCATCGTAAGACAGGAAGAGAAGGTGAGTACAACTTAGTTGAGTGTCATCATCAAGCTTCAAGTTTGACCAGTATCATTACTCGTAGAAATTTGCTTACACCTGCCATAAGACGTCATAGAGTAATTCCGATTTAGAATGACATTTTATGCTTCGAGGATCAAAAAATTAACTAGGAAGATGCATTAAGAGATCATGATGAGACAAGCTTCAAGATATCACTCTCAAGTAACTATGAAGAATGAGGGAGAGTATGAATGAATCCTGGTCTGCCATGTGTGAAACACATGCCTCTGGTAGATCTACCATCCATCTTCTGGGGGCATAAAGTGTAGGTGGCACTGACCATCAATGTCCCCTTGCAAGTATAAAGTGAGATGCCTCTCTCTATCTCTCTCTCTCCCTCTTCAGCTTTTGTTCTCATCTCCAAGAATTGCTCAACCTACATAGCAAGCAGGAGACACAATATGCTTTCTAGAAACCTGTTAATGTCATGCTCCATCTAAAACAATTTTGGCAGACGTAGTAGTCCAGAATGCAAGATTACAATGAGATTTCCAACCTGTTAGCACAACGATATATAGTTTAGAACAGAACAAGGCAGACCAAATGTTTTTACCTACAGATTGCTCCCAATAGTGGCATAAGAGTGACCGATTGAATGTATTATGCATTGAACTTGTAAATCTTATCTTGCTTAGGAGTAAACTCTTCTTATTCTTCATTGAAATACATACACAGGTTAATCAGCTTAGAGTAGATGTTCAACATTCCAAAACTTTTAAATTTTTATGACCTGTCAAACCATGTTTATGGACAAATAAGGAGAGGAAAGACATTCTCAAGCTCATGCAGAGTTTAAAAGACAAAAAGGTTGGGCCAGTGACAGTCACAGAGAAGAATGAGCTTCTGCTACTAAGCTGTTAAATATATTATTATAAAATAAAATACCCAAACTCTTTATAAAACATTTTATAAATCCTCTTATCATTGTCTTCAAGTTCTTGGGGTAAATTAATGGTCTGAACTTGCATACACTGAAGCTGTCATGGTATGTAAGGATCCCACATCAAAGTTGCCTTGTTAGTTTGCAATATGGTCTATTGAATTCAAAGTCGTGTCTCTTGGTCCTAAATGTTCTCCCATGTGGATCACAATGTGGCACTATTTGATTATATTCCTTATGAGATCTGCTTTCAAGTTTATGCTACCCTTTTAATATGCCCATGAACACAATCCAGAATCAGATTCAGCTTGTAGGAGTTAGGAATTGATAAGATTCGAGTGACTAAACTTGTGGGAGCCTTGGTTGCATTCTCCTACTTTAACTTCAAAGGATTTAAGGAACTTTCCATCTCTAAGATGTTGACTGTTACACACATCTCTAATTACTCAAATCTACAACACCAACATTTTCACATATCTATTGTGATTTAAAAAAAAAAACTCTGTTTTATTTCCATCTGCTATGAAATCGAAGGCTAAGCAAAGATTGTAGAAAGGGACCCCAAAAAATGATTAAAATAAAAAAGAACAGATTTTAAGGCTTTTCTAGTTTTCGTCACAAGCCAATCCAACAGAAATTGAGCTTGTAGACTCTCCTTTAACCTACGAGAATCCAAGATGACCCACAAGGCTACATACATCACATTATCTTTATTTGGTATCAAGGCGCTAAAAAAAAGATCCAATAAGGCAGGCATACAAAAGATTCCTTCAATTATTTGAACTGCACAGAATAAAGGGGGGAAAAATCAAGTCATCATGATCCAGAGGCACTTTTGTCAAAGTTAATCTTCAATAGCAACCATAGGACATCTGACTGAAACCAGAAACATTTTGAAGAGAATCTCAAGAAACACTCCTAGATAACATGGAATAAAGGTGTCCATCAAGTAGTCCATGTTGCTCACGTTGTAAAGACCTTGAAGAGGTCTATATAAATGATCGGAGTTGCAAGCATTGCATTCCACTCAAGTTTGCAGACATTAGAGATTCATCATGCCTATTGCACAGTCTCAGTCAATGAATGGAGAAATATCCATGGAGGACTTCAAAACATGGCTGAAGAATTTCGACGCCAACAAGGATGGACGCATCAGCAAAGCTGAGCTTCGGGAGGCCATCCGCAGCAGAGGAGGATGGTTTACAACCTGGAAGAGTGGTCGTGGACTCCGACAAGCTGACACAAATCGGAATGGCTACATTGATGATGGTGAGATTGAAAACCTCATAATCTTTGCCCAAAAAAATATGGGCATGAAAATTACTGCATAGTAGCAGTAAAATAAGGGGAAAAAAAAAAACTATTCACTACGAGTTCTATGCACGCAATCATATGTAACTGCATCTTATGCATGCGATCATATCGTTATGTAACTGTGTCCTTATGTCAGATGGCTATATCATCGTAGGTTGGCACGAAATAACAGTATAAAAGACTGCATGATACTATTTCTTGTTGCGTTTTCCTCAAATTGATCTGCATAATAGTTACTACATTGTATGTGAACATGAATGCGGTCTATTACACAGGGGATGGAGACCACAGATAGAAAGCCTGTTGTCAAAAACACGAGCTTTTCAGTTTTGTTGGCTGTTTTCTGGTCATAGTTATGCAAGTTGAAGTTGGCTACTTTAAGACAAATTGACCAAAGATGGAGAACTTGTATAAGATTCAAAAGCATATAGATTCAAAAGAGAAAATTTTATTCACTTACTAGATGTGCAGTTCTAATTGGAGAAGTTAGGGCTGCCAAATCTCTATCTATGAAAATGCTGACCGATTGCGGTGACTAATTCTCTAAGCCAGCGCCAGAACCAAAATGGAAAAGCTCTGCAAGACAAAATTACAAGTTAAATAGCACAAACCTTGACAAAGGACACTACATATTCCTTAGAGAAATTAAATAGCTATTCCGAAGACTCGATGTAAGGGATGGAGACTAACTACAAACTCACCATAAGGAGCAATGTTATCAAAGGACACTTTGCTGTCAGTAGTAGATCTGTACTGGTCCAAATACAATATGGTACCAAAGTCAGATCAACATCCATGCACTTTATGCAGTTTACAGTTTCTGGATATTCATAATTATGTATCACGACTTAGTAACATAAAATTACAAAGCAATCAAATGATATACTAAAGCTTGCAAATATAATAAACCAATAGAATAACGAAATATGGCCTATGAAGACATGGCGAATGATGAAGATTCAAGATAATGAAATCAGATTTTGTTTATGTAGATTCTGTTGTTAAGCTATCAATAACTTCTTTCAAAGTTGTTCAAAGTTTTAGGATTTATTTTTGGCATTCTAAAAGATTGGCTTCATATTCCTGAAAAATTCCAAATTATTATGGATTTAGAAGGCATGAGTTTTCATCGTGCCTTCTAAATTCATAGCTAGATTATCATCAAAAGTAATTGCAACCAACATTTTCGCATTGCTGTGCTTGTTGATGAACATTTATCACCATTCATGGGGGAAGAAAAGCTTGAAGGGTTTTAGTCTGGACAAGGCACTCAATTTTGTCAATAAGTTACAAAGATATCAAAACCTCTAGTAATAATGAAAAGGATATCGATGATGATATATAATTGATCCTACAATTTCTGATACTCAGATGCAACGAAGCCATATATTTATTGGAGATGCCCACATGTACAAATAACAGTAATAAAATTAAAAATATGGATTATCAACACCAATATAGTTTAGGCTGATATCTCAATCAATACCACCTTAAACCATTAATGAAGACATGTGCTTCTTCCTTATCCTGTTGCTAACTGCTGGATGACACCACAGACATTCACGTTAGTTAATATCAATTAGAGTTTAAAAGATAGATGAAGTCACAGATCAAATATGTTTAAGCAAGTGCATGTTCTTGCTAAATACTTGGTCAGACAGCTGTTTCATGTATAAAGTGGAAATAAATAGTTAAAATTTCATTTTGGTTTCTGTCAGTAGCTCTTTGGCAAAGAATCCGTAAAGAAGAAGAAGCTCCTGTTATTTCCCCCTTTTTCTATTTTCATTCAAATTCCCGCAATGAATACAGTTTCCGTATAAATATCCTTTTTTCTTTTACTTTCACTCATGTAAGAAATTACACGAGCATCAAACAACTACGATTTGGGACTTGCAAATTTCTAATCTTAATTTCCTGCCATTTTATTGCGATTTCCACAAGAATAGTCTACTGTACGTACAATTCACCAAAATCTGAAAGAGGGAAAAATAAGGAAAGAGTGATTGAAGCTTACAAAGTGAGGAAATCGGCATGGCAGATGAGAAAGCGCCAACCGAAGGACGAGTAGAGCTGTAGATACGGTTTCGAGTGCCTCTCCTGGCTCGACAACCACGACATCGTCCTTCCAATCTTTACTCCTTCAGTAGATTCTCCCTCCCTCCCACTACATCTCCAATCTCCCACCAGCGATTCCCCCCCGGCTCAAGAATTGTAGGCCAGGGTTTCACACCTCCACCCCGCGGATCCCTCTCGTCAATCAGATTCAAAAACCCATCACTAATTGCAGCGGACAAAGAGGAGGAGAGAGAAAACGGCTAACGTGCGCGGGCGGACGAATCGGGTTAGGCTGGTACAGGGGTGTTGGTGTAGGCCATTGGAGTGTTGTAGAGTGGCACGAGTTACCGCATCAAAAAAA